CCCGGTAACGGATAAGCGGATGAAAATGGATGGATGGATGGATGGATGGATGGATGGAGTATTGTCAGTGTTGTAAGGCCTTGATTCTGTAGCAGGACAACAAACCCAGACATTGCATTTGTAGCATTTTTCGAATTTTCTCTGAACAGGAGCACCAGAGGACTTGCTGTTAGCAAGCAAGCAAAAAATCCAGTGTGACATGTAAAACTGGTTATTCAATTAGATTTTTGTTTATTTGTTTTTTTGGGGGGAGGTGTTTGTTTGTTTTTGTTTGTTTTTGTTGTTGTTTTTTGGGGGGGAGGTGTTTGTTTGTTTTTTGTTTGTTTGTTTTTGTTTGTTTTTGTTGTTGTTGTTTGCTGTCTGGCAGTTGCAATAATTTCTTTCTTATAAAATGCCTTGGTTGAATCCGGCTAGGACCAGACACATTTGGATGCCAACACACTCAGATCCTCTGAGGCTGTGAGTCAATTTTTCCAGTGAGGGTGTCAGGGTCCTTGAGCTCCTGATGCAGTCCTATAAATATGTTTATGAATCTGTGAATAGAAGCAGTCCAACACACTGAGTGGCTAACAGACTAGGTAACCACACCATAAACCTATGATTAACATCGTGCAATCTGTTGACAAATGCCCTTCTTGCAGTGGATGAAATAATAATTTCCTCCTTTTTCCTTCCTCAGCTTCTGCTTGGCCTCGTTTTTCATTATGAAAACAAATCAACAAACAACACAAAATAACACAAACCAGGATATAGTACCTGCAGGAATAGAAGAAAAACACATCAACATTTCAGTGGTTTGTTTGTTTGTTTGTTTGTTTTTATTGACATCTGTCACCACCATACCTTTCTGGAAAAATATTTCATGGATAAATTATTTGCAGAAAATGAAATCATTTTCATTGCTTACCTCATGCCAAGCCACATTGGTTTGAAATCACTGATTTCTACAAGTGCACACGAGTTAACTTGACATAAAGATTAGGAAGCAGTTGGTCAACATATTGGTTAACACACAAATAAACAATCATAGCTAAAGATCATTACATCTGTGTCCGACTGTCTGCTCCAGTCACAGATAATTTCACTGCTGGCTCCTCTAGAGGCAAACATTAATATTGCGAGTCTGCAGATGGACCCCAAACATTTCCAGGTGCCATGTTCTGCCGCACAAAACAGGCCACAGCTGGTTTGCTGCGGTACGGTCTGTGTAATATTTACCAGCAGAGTTTCATATGACAGAGGGAAAAGGGGAAGCACTGCCTGCTGTGATAATGTCAAAGCACTTATGCTTTATTACACGTCCAATCGTTGTTATTATGAGTGGACACAACAGAACCCGCCCACCCCCCCAATCAGTACCACCACCTGCATTTCTGCTTTTCACTGCAGTATATCGCCAAGCTTCCTGAAAGTAAGTAAACAACAGAGTGATTCATGAAGAATGTGACGATGTTTTTCACAGCCTCACCTGAGCGAGGCGGTGAAATGGAGCATCATTACACTGGTGGTAGCCATTAGTGGACAGTGAGTCAGGGCCATAAAGAAATGCACATGGTCTGCGACGTAAACAGCCCCCACACCATTACACACCACCTACACCCGGCGTTGACACCCGGCAGCTGGAATACTATGTCGCAACAGTTTTCATGCTAGTGTGTTGTTGCAGCATTATACAGCATGTGCAGTGATAAAATACTACAGTGCTCAGTATATACTGTGTATATATATATATATATATATATGTACACCGTTTTTACTCATAATAATAATAAATATGATGGCAACCGATATCTGTGCTAGTATCTGTATCGAGTTAACACTTTCCATTATACATATTTATGTATACATATGTGCTGATTGCGGTGCACAGCTCCTACAGTACTGTAGGTCAGTGTCTCATTGTCCTCATGGCTAGTTTACGTAAGTAGATCAATGATGTCAGCAGCTTAGAGGTATTTCAACATCATGGACAGGAGAAAGATTTATATAAGATGGATTTATTCATTGCGAAAATGTGCTCAGAGTGCTCTAATGCAGGGGATGGGCAATTTTTTTTACTTTTAAAATGTACAGGAATAAACCTAAACTTTCAAAGATAATACATATTTGATGTCTGCCGCCTACTAGTGCCATCAACAGAAATAATTGTTAATTTGTTTTTAAGCATGACACAGAAGGATTGAATTCAGTCTTAACCGTATCATGTCCCATGTACCAGGTGGGCCAGATTAGAAAGCCTAGCGGGCCGTATCTGATCTGATTAGAAAAAGTAATAAATGAATAATTCTATTCACACTGTCCAAGCAGAATAATCAAGTTTTTTTCAAAAATGAAGGTGAGAATTTTATCCCCACCCCCACCTCCCATCCAGCCTCCCAAATTAATTATTCCGGTAACAACATGTACTGTTCTCACAGGCCCCATTAAGTCTGGACCATTGCTGCGACAGCCCCATCATTTTTAGGAAATTACGTAAGAGGAACCTGTTGTTGCTGAAGTGCTCTCACCTTTCTCTTTTATTCTAAGGACAAAAGTGTCACAATCAGAGAGGGGCCCATCGTGTGTAGATGAAACTGCATGTAATTTGGCACTGACATTAGGAAGACAAAGTAAAATCTCTGAAATGTTCCAAATTAGCGCTGCAGTTAGTCGAGCTGCAGTGTTCAACCTTTGGTACAAAAACAGAAGTACAGGATAAACAATTGGTACAGCTGTCATGACAGGTGAACTAATATACTCCCCCACCTCACCCCTCAGGACACAAAGTTGTCTGTCACCTTCCTCTTTGAATCCATCTCATTCTCACCATCATCCTTAATGAGTCACTGTTGGTCCACTGGTGTGTGAAGAGAAAGTTGAAATTTGAAATGTTATATTTCAGCGCCACCCGGTGTCGGATTTAGGATTGCAGGCTTTGTGATGGTAGATTTCTAGCAATTCAAGGAACAAAGTAAATATTAAACCTTATCTTCATTCTCTTGTCATTGACCAGCTGTTTAGACTCAGGGCTTGGCTGAAGTCTTATCCATGTGTCCAGGTCAGATCTGTGATTTCTTCTGTTCTGCAGACTTGTCCACTGTGACTTTTATTGATTCTCCACTCTTTGCAGGATTAATGAACTTTGACCTTTGTCTCCTACATGTTTCTGTGATGTTTTTTGGACAGCCCCATTGGGAGCTGGACATTAAAATAAAATTCAATAAAAATTTAAAACCAAAATGTTTACATTCTTTGGACTGTTAAGTGGGCTGGATTTAAACCATAGGCCACCAGTTTATGATCACTGTTCTATATCAAACAATTACAAAAAAAGACAAAAAGATGATACATATTAAAATCTCAAAACTCTTACAGCATTTGTTAACGTATTTGTTTTGTCTAAACATTAATATTTTTGGACTTTGTAATTTTGGACAAATCCCCTTCAAGTACCACCATTTACAAACATCTAAACACAGCAGTGCAGGTCATCTTATTAGCTAAGACTAATATATGAACAAAAAATATATTTTTACAAATAAAGACTATTTACCAGCCATGGCCAAAATGAACAGCAACATGGCAATGGAACTGGAACTTTTTTAAATTCACTATACACTCAGCAAAACTTTAGGTGCCTCATGAGTGATAAACATACCAGAGTTTGAGAACCACTGCCTTGAGTTTTTCTACCACTTATTGATTTGTTGGGGGGTCTTTTCGATCGTCCTGGGTACTCCATGGCTTGTGTATTTGCTAGTCTTGATTTGGTCTATTTGTGCGATAGTACAGTTCTAATGTCCACACCAGCGTTATGTAAGTGCTGAGGGGCGAAGTTACAACACAGCAGGAGGAGAAATTGATTTTTATCCAGGCAATTCCGTGGACTGACATTCTAGTTAGAACAAAGTTCAATTTCCAGTGGGAACCACGTGTTCAGTGTTTTCCTATAAGTATCCTAAAGGTTACACCTAAACCTGACTTAAATTCCACTCACTCCATAGTACAGCCATGAAGAGAAAATAAATCTTTTGTGTGTGTGCCTCAAAAATTAAATTAAAATATATATATGTAAAAAAACTTTTTTCTATCTATGTCTTTTTCTTTTTTATTAGCTAAATTAAGCTAAGCTAGAACTGAGCTGAGCATGACTAGCTTGTAGCATTCTATCTAGATTCTCTAAATCATTCTATCTGTAATTAGATTTAGAGATGATTAATATATGTTGATTTTTATTTTATTTTTTATTTGAACATTTGCACACATTTAACACATTGATGTTTGGGTGTTTGTTTGTGTTTTTTTCCTTATTTGTAAGAAAAATATTTATTGGGCTAGGTTTTGCTAATGGCTAATGGTTTTGTTAAAACCTTCAAAAAATGATCTACAATCTACTGAAGCAAGGTTTGATTGTTACAACTGCTACTATCAGAAGGAATTAACAGGACCACTGTGACAGATACTGGAAAAACACAATACAGGTAAAACATGAAACCATTTTTCATGTTATTGTGGAAAAAAAGTAAATAAATAAGTCGCCTGTTGTTTTTAAATGAAGACATTGAGAATTTAAGGTCACTTACATAACAGTCAACTGGGGTTTAATGTGATTAAATGTGATATGTTCTGTTTTCATTTGGAGAAGACAGCGTTGTATTCTATTTGATTCTATTCCATATTCACTATTTGTTTCTGCACAGCAGTGACACATGACTCATGACTTAGTTTCAGTCAGCAACCAGAGACATGTAAGTATGTAGATCTAGCAGTTCCAGATCAGTGATCACAGCAGGTCTGAGGTCTGAGTGAGTGCACTGATTACCATTCCGACCACAGCAGTGATCCCCTCCTGACTGATAAGAACCATTGTGCAAGCCTGCAGAGCGACTGACTGTTGAGCAGATGGATCAATGGTCACAGCTGCTGAGGTTCATGCCTTTTAGGCAATGGTTGGGGATCAATGGTTATATTTACCTGACAGCAGGGGCTGTAAGAAGGTGAGGGGTATAAAAGCTGGCTTTAATCCCTCTCTGGGCATCTCTCCTGCTCCTCAGACCAGGCCTTTACCATGAAGCATCGCGTGCTGCTGTTGCTGGCGTTGGGCTGCGTGAACGTCCTCCACGCTGCACCGGTGGAGAAAGATGGCCTGGAGCCGGGCTCATGTGAAGATGCCTTCGCTCTGAGCGCTGCAGAGCAGGCGCTAACCAAGATCAACCGTGACCGTCAGGAGGGCTACATCTTCAGCCTGCACCGCCTTTCTAATGTGCACATTGGAAAGCACGTGAGTTGGTCTAATGTGTCTATAGCAATAGTGTAAATATCTTAAAAGACTATGGTTATTGTATGTATAGATAGATAGATAGATAGATAGATAGATAGATAGATAGATACATATATTGATTTTCAAATTTTTAATATTTACCTTTAATTTCTGTCCACAATAACACAAACGACAGCAAATTATTAATGTCCTTGTTTACATGGATAAAAATAGCTTCAGGGTTTTTATGTACGGTTTTATATATTTAGATTTTTATATTTATAAGTGTTAAATATTAACCTTACTGTCACATCATAATACAGTACAAGGTTTTGTAGTGTTGTGAAAATCATATTATTGAAAAATACTTATTTGCAAAATACTGTCATTAATAAGTATATAAAAATATATATTTTATAAATATAAAATGTATATAACTACAGGACAGAAAATACAAAGCTGGTCTACTGAACGTATGACTCGCTCTCCCCGCGGTCAATCCAGCAGGAAATAAAAGAACAAAAGGGTTCATTTTAGTTCCACAGTTGATGAGATTAAAAAGTGTCAGAGGACACCAGTCATTCTAACACTGGAAGATCAGGTGATAAGAAGCTAACGACTTCAGTCTCTACATCAATGAAACAGCTATAAACAAAGTGCATGTGTGTGTGTGTGTGTGTGTATGTGTGCGTGTGACCATCACATCACAGGGAGAGACCGGCTTTGTCTTCTACCTGACTTTGGACATCGTTGAAACTGAGTGCAGTGTTCTCAGTGGGAAGGAGTGGAAGTCCTGTGAAGCCCGTCCTGACTATAACACACCAGTAAGAAGATAGAAAACACACACACACACACACACTATTGAAGGAGATTTTTCCATTTTAGCATTTGTTCCTGTGAAACTCTTGCTCTTCTGTGTCGGTCCAGTGTTGAAGCGTTACTTCCTCTGACCTGTTCTGTCTGCAGGTTTACGGCCAGTGCAAGGCTATCATCTACATAAACAAGCCAAACAGAGTGGTCCGCCTCATTAAATACAACTGTGATGCCAGACCAGGTAAAAAAAAATTTTAAAAAACACAATAAATTCATACACATGAATTTTGTTTTTAATTGACATTTTTGGACTAAAGTTTGTGTATTTCCGCTTTACTTATTTTCATTTCATTTTCTCTTCCCTCCGTCCAAAGCTCCTACTGCTAAGATTATCAGCACATGTCCTGACTGTAATGTACTGAGCGACGTGAATGATGATAACATTCAGAACACTGTGGCCACTACCCTGAAGAAGTTCAACAATGAGAGCAAACTTAAAAATCATTTCACTCTGCTGAAAGTCAACCGTGCTACTACTGGAGTAAGTGGTCCACGTGTGAATACTACTAATGACAGTTTCAAAATACTCTATATACGGGTGTGTGTGTATATATATATATGTATATAGTGTGTGTGTGTCTATTTGTGATTGTTGGGTCATGTCTAATCATACAGAAACCCGACAGTCAAATGGTGGCGTGACAAGAATACTTTTACTTACTTTTAAATGTAAACGGCAGTATTGCTATTACAGTATTTCAACATGCACCATATGATGAATTGGTTCTATGGGAACTCACTAATTAATTTGTGATATTATTTTATTTAATGTCTACTCAACCAAACAATTTGCAACCGTTTTGCAGTACCTTTTCCGACAATTGTACTGTATCGTATCACATAATTGAGTATCGTATCATATTGTATTGTACCGTATCGTATCGTATTGCATCGTATTGTATCGCATCATATCATATTTCATCGCAACCCATTGTTTTTTATTTGGTCCCAATGCTAGCTTCACTCCCAGGTAATATAACAGCAGGATAAAACTGTATTTTAAAAAAACATTTCCATGACTTATGTTTTGCTTCTCTCGTCTCTGTGTTCCCAGATGGGCATGGTAACATTCTACAACACAGAATACACCATTCAGGAGACCGCCTGCTCTAAGGACATTGAGGAAGTAACTGCTGAGAAGTGCCCCCCGATGTCATGCGAGTTTGCTGTGAGTCCTATAATGTGTTTGGACACAAGTCGAGCACTAATGGTGGCCCTTCAAACATGCGTCTTTTTATTTCTTTATGGACTCAATTACCTGTTGTTGACAACAGTGCTATAACATCAAACATGATTTCAAAACTGGAAGAAGTTTCTAATGACTCAATTTTAATTGTGTATCCCGATGTTTTTGTTCTTAGCACAAGGGCTTCTGTAAGGGTTCTCACATCATCCCCTCTACCCAAGAGAGTGAGTTCACCGTGGAGTGTGAGATCTATGAGCCTGAGGTAAGACCCCTTCACTGCCCCTCCTCAAGGAAAAAGAGATTTCTTTATGTGAATTTTGCTGTTCTTGGCCGTTGCTGACGAAACTCTTAAATAAAACAAACATGTTTTAAATAATATCAGAATTTTTTTTATTTTTGTTTATTCAATTATTTAATTTACATCTATTTATATCTTTATATTAGGTAAGTAATTAATAAATATCAATAATCATTTATAATTATTAGTTAAATAAAATTCTCTGAGCTTTTTACTGTTTTCTCTCTATTGAAAAAAATAACCCATCATCATTGTCTTCCGTGTTGTCCAGGCTGCAGAGAGAGAGAAGAAGCTCCACCTGCTGGGTGGAGAACAAGACCACAGCCACAATGACTCACACACACACGGCCACGCACATGACCACGACAGCCATGTTCCTGACGATAAACACTCACACCACCACACGCATGACCACGTGCACGACCACACCAAGAGCCACGCCGATCACGACAAAACACACCAACACGCTGACAACAGCCAACACCACCACACTCATGACCACGACGCAGGCAGCACCCACAGGCACGCTCACGCTCATTCCCATGACCACGGTCACGGCCATGATCACGTACACGCCCACCACGCCAAAGCACATGACCACAGCGGCGACTCACCAAATCACCACCACGACTACAAGCATGCCGACAGCCAGTTCACTCATGAGCATGATCACGAGCTGGCCTTGGACCATAACCACAAGCACGCACACCTGCACGAACACGAGCACCACCACCATCACCATGACCACAACCACGAGACAGACTACCACGACCATCCCCACGGCCGGGTGACCATACTGCCAGCTGTTGACCAGCCCATGACCCTGCCCTTCTTTCCCGAATTCCCTGATCATGGAATCATCCTGCCCGCTGTCCCCGACCCCCAAATCCCTGGAGAGATGAAGCCCACCATCCTGGGCTTTCCAACATCAGTCTCTGCTCAGTGCCCTAAACCACCGTCAACAGGCACCCTGGTGGAAGAGCTCTTCAAGGACGACCCAAAGTTTGCTGCTGCTGCATAAAATGTTACCTTTTTTTTCAGCGGAGAAACAAATGGACATTTTATTAAAAATCCACAAAACATGTGACTCATTTTTGAGTGAAATAGTAACCTTGTAACCCTGTTATATCAGTCCAAGCAAAGACAATCATTTGTTGTTGAAAGTTAACATGTATCCTTTCCTGTTGGTCTTCACTGTCACTTTCTATGACAAAAGTGAGTTCATTAAAAAATAAGTTTTAACCATTGTTGTATTGTTTCCTCTGTTGATGAGTAGCCCAGTAAACCAGAAGTAAAATTACGGAAAAGAAGTACAAAAATATATCATATGGCTCAGTCAGATTAATATTGTTGCTCTCTTAAATTCCAACTATATATTAAATGAGAGTGGGAATCCATGATTGAAATAGCAGAAGATAACCCTGGTGAAATCTTTTATTTTATATAAATTCATGTGTTATTTTACTGTGTAGTTCATCACATCACCAGTGTAGCTGTTCAATCAAGGCAGAAAACAAACAGAATATAAAAACAAAACAAAAAACTTCTAAATGTATAAAAATTAAAAAAAACATGCGTCAAAAAAAATGTTGACTGCTTTTTGTTGTATGTTGCATTTAGGGGGTTAAATTAAAAAAACAAGGAATTCTTACAATACTGTACCATATTGATATTGATTGTTGATAGCAAAAATTAATTTGATTAAAGGATAATCAACAGAGCTGTCATCTATGGAAATAAAGGCAAACAGGGAACTTATCTGCATGAATCTCTTATTTATCACAGTCACAGACGAAAGACACAGAATGGTGACAGAATAATAAAGTTTATTCCACAAAAATGTATAAAGTTCTTTATGACTTCTTTATGTGTCCCAGCTTTGTTGCATCAATTGGGGTTTTAAAATTTAACATGAAAAATAATATCTATATTTTTTCTCCTGTCTCAATAATCATAATAAGACCAAAAAAGCTATTGTGGCTCCAGAGCAGGCACTTGGTTGTAGAGTTGATCTGTTACTGTCCATTAATAAAGGCTAGTTGATAAATAATACAGGCGTTAATTTATATTTGACACGTTCTACTGTAACTAAAGTTTGTTGCTGGATGTGGTGATTAATCTGTAACAAATGCAAATATATTTTTTCTGACCTAATTCAAAATAAAATTTTTGATTATATTTATACATTTATAACAACATCTTTTATACAGAGCGTTTCAAACAAAACAACCCTGATCTTTGCTCTGTAGAAAAACACACAAAACCCACAGCAGTAGCACAGCGTTGTTGCAAAACTCAGAGTAACACAAACATTTAGACAAACATTTCCATAAGATTCTTCAAAAATATTCTAACTATTCTGGAAATCCAACCTATCAAAAATGCAAAAATATATTTTAAAAAACACAACATAACATCAATTATTGTTTAGAAAGAAGAGGAAATGAGTTTAAACCATCACTCTTCTGCTGCAGCTGTACAGTATCTGATGGTCTGTTTGTCTTCCCCTGTCCCCCACTGAACTATGACCCTTCAGTCAATCAGCCCCAGCCATTGGCCTCCAGAGCAGTAGATAGAAGATGTTTGCTCATCATGAGACAGGAGAAAGTCCACCGTCAGCCTCACAGGGGTCTGTCTGGAAAAAAAAACCTTCCACAGGAAGCCTTTCAGTCCAGGACAGGCATGAGACTGAGACTAAATGTTGAAAAATATCTTCCAGCGTAGCCTTTAACTGTGTGTGTATGTGTGTGTGTGTGTCTATGTTAGAAGATGAATGTGTATCTGCTGGTCCTGTGTCTGGCTCTGCTGCAGCAGGAGGGAAGAGCAGACCCAGACACTCAGGGCTGCCACAGTCCTGAGGCGGTGAGAACAGCAGAGGAGGTTCTGGAGCAGATCAACCAGGACCGGACTAATGGATACATCCTGGGCCTCAACAGAGTGTATGACCTTTCACACACTCCTGAAACGGTGAGGGCACACACACACACACACACACACGTGCATGCCTCTATACTTATACATGCATCTATACAGAGCTGTATGTATGAAATAAGAGGAGTCTCTGTGTGTGTGTGTGTGTGTGTATGTGTGTGTGTGTATGGGTGTGTAGGTTAATTCTGGGTCCCTGTACAAACTGACTATTGATGTCCTGGAGACCAAATGTCACATCACTAGCAAGAAATCATGGAAAGAATGTGAAATTCGAGATATATCTGCTGTTCCAGTAAGTACCACATGGTGGTGTAATTTCTTCATTTTCCAACACAGATGCAGCTTTTCTCAAAGACTAATGCCTGGCCTCTCAAACAGACACAAATGTACATATCCTCAAAGACACATATGTAAATATATAAATATACATTTATATTTATAATATTTTTCTTTATTTTCACCATTCCACACCAACAATTCTCCATGGTCCTTGTCTCCTTTAGGTGTACGGAGAGTGTGAGGTATCTGCCTTGGTTGGTGACCAAGTGAAACTTCAGAGATACTCATGTGTACTGCGTGAAGGTACACATTACTTAAAGGACTAGACCGAGACACATTTTCAAGTGTCTGCTGTTTATACTAAGCCTCATCATGGGGCCACTACAGAGCCAGGAGAAGTTCTAAACAGTAAACAGGGTGGGCAGGAGGTTCAGAGTGCTCACTTCAAATAGGTTTTTATTGGTTTATTGAAATTTGACTAGTGTTCTGGATTTTGTGTACTGACAGAACCTCTATTTCACCCCCCTGTGTTCAGTTCCTGCCACTGCAGTAGTGAGTGTGTGTCCCGACTGTCCCACGGCTGACAATTTGAACGAACCTGTTGTGAAGGAGACGGTGAATCTGTCACTGGAGAGGTTCAATGCAGAGAGCGGACTGGCTAATATCTTCGGCCTGGAGAACATCACCAGAGCCAGCTCACAGGTCAGGAAGAACACCACACTGACTGTGGCACAAGATGTACCCAGCATCACTAAGGATGATTTGTAAACCTTAGGTTTTAAACAGGAGGTTTTGCCCAATCCTAACATTGTAGATTAGTATTGTACTTCTCTGTGTGTTTTGAATTCCTTTGTGTGCTTTGCCAGTGGGTGGTTGGGCCGTCCTACTTTGTGGAGTTCACTATAGTGGAGACGGTGTGTTCAAAACAAACAGATGTCAGCGAACTAAGCAGCTGTCAACCGATGGACTGTCAATTTGCAGTGAGTAAAATCTACATATGCAAACATGCAAAGAAAGTCTGTAAATTGTATCGAGTTATGATTTCATTCAAACGTTTCAGTCTCAGTTTATTTTTTAAGACAAAAACAAAACAGTTATGTGGGGCTAAATAACGCTGATAAAATATTTTGATGCATTTAACAACCCAAAGATATGATTGGTACGATGCCCAATCAGCATATGTTATATATTTTGTCAACTAAAACCAACCGAAAGTTAACCTATTCAAATGATTTTGACTACACTGGTTCCCACACTAACATTCTTTGTTATTTTGTTTTTTTGTTTTTTTTTTTTGTTTGTTTGTTTTTGAGTACTCTCAGCATAGAGGTTTTTGTTCAGGCTCACACATGACTGAAGACGACCAGTTTGAAATCAGACCCATTGCTGGAAAGAACTTCCAGGACAGGAAGGCTGTGGAAGTGAAGTGTGAAATCTACGAACCACAGGTAACTTCTTTAAACAGTGGGATTTTGACAACCTTTCAGATTTATATATATATGTAATGTATAATATGTAAAGTATGTAATGTATTTCTGGAAAACCTATGTAAAGCATGCTAACATAATCTGGATTTCAACTTCGCTCAAATGTTCCTGAATTTTAGAAAAAAAAAGACCTAAAACATATTTATGCTTGTTGACTTCTGTGAGCCCCAGTGAAATTTGTCGTGCAATGTAATTATATACAATATGTTAACTGATTAAAATGAACATTTTTTTGTGTAGGCTGCCACTGTGGAGGAGCGTGCCCATGCCAAAGCAGATACTGACCACACTGTTAACCAGCAACACAACCACACACACCTGCATGCCCATGAGCATGTACACAAAAATTCACCTTCTGACGTCACTATTACCTCACCACAGAACTCTCTGGGAACTGTGGTGTATCTCGCGGCCACGCCCAGATCTGCCCCCGCGGCCAAGTTGTGTCCTGGCCCACGTCGACACGATCTGGGTTTAGGCAGATTCAAACTCTGACGGGCAGAATGTGGATCTATGTCCTTTCATCTGTCTCTGTGTGTTATATCTAATTACATTGGACAAAGAAAATGGTGCTTGTTACTTATCAAATTAAACTGATTGTTGAATTAAAGCAGTTGGAAAACTGGCATTTTTGGTTTTTTTAATAATACTGTGAGTGATTTAAAAAAGAAAAAACTTACTTTACTTAAATACCTTTTTGTGCATATTCCCAACATTCTCATATTTTAATGATTTAATATATATATACAGTTAAAAGAACAACCGAGTTACACACAGATGCATTACATTACAACAATTATGTTGTGCATATGAAATGCCATTATGAATTAGAAACGTAGATTCATATCAACATCGGGAGAGAGATATTTTAGTGTAAAAAAATGTACTACTGTAGTTTTTAGAGCCATTTTAAGATGTATGCCAAGAACACAGTTTTTAAAAATGCTATGAAGTAGTAGAAAAACTAAATATTGGCAACAAAGAAAAAAAAATACACACAAGCAAAGGTTTTGTAAACATTTCTGCGAAATATAACACTTTATTTTCTTCAAATTTGGTTGACACTGAAATGTAATGATACTCGTGGACAGATAGTAGGCCACCTATTAAAAAAAAGACTCAATCACGATATTTAATGAATTTCTTGCATCAACGTGACATTTTAGTGAACATTGTTCTGTAGCTAAATATTGACTTTGTGTCATGTCTTGATAAAAACTAAATAAACGAAAGTCCATGGTGTTATTTATACAGAATTTGGTGTTATTCAACCTTGACTTTCATACCTAAGTTGGCATGCTCACTCAGCAAATGAATAGCTCGCCGTGATCGTATAGTGGTTAGTACTCTGCGTTGTGGCCGCAGCAACCCCGGTTCGAATCCGGGTCACGGCATGTTTTGTTTCATTGGACATTCACGTTGCCCCGTATGTTCAAAAAGATAAATTCTCTTCACACCAACTCTTCAAATCATTCCCCAGATGATTCTGTTCTCCTTGCGGCCATACATGGTTTACTTTCATCGTACGTGACGTTGGTGTGGGATACCTACAAGGATGGCCTACTCTTACTTACTACGCCTGTGCCTGTCAGAAGCCGATAGCTGTGTGACCTCCTTTACTTCGCATTTTACCAGTCAAGGTGCTCTCATACGTGAAACACTTGTTGTTGAAACAGTCGAGGCAGATAGATAGAGTTTTGGCTCCTATTCTCTGCAAACACTGCCTCAGGAGGAAGGCTTTTGGGTAAATGCAAAAACAATTTTCAACATTTCCAGTTCCAGTGTTTTCCCCCTGAAAACTCCACTAAATATCCCAGGTTTTTGTGATGTTAAAAGACTCTTTCTTCAGTTTTTTTTCTTTTTTTTACTACTAGGAACAACAATCCAAAAGAAAGTGAGTCAAAGGGACTGCATTTACTCAAGAGGCCGATAACAAAAGAGCATGGCTGTGATTTGCAGCGACTGTTTCATAGGTCCATTAAGGCCAGAGCACACACAGTGCTTTGTGGGATATGAGAAGCAAATGTGAAGCAACTCAAGGAGAGAGGGACTAAAACCCCTGGAGCGCCGTCGCCAGAGGAAGTCAGCTGAAAACAATCACCTTTACTCATTTGTTGAAGAGTCTTCTGGCTGCCCGGCAACGTACTGAGCCTTTTTTACAGTAACATTAGCCATTAGTTCAGAGAAAGGTAAAGAAAAGGTGATTTATTCTAGGTAGAGCAGCAGTCATGTGGACTCTCCAAATCTTTCTTGACAGAAAAAAGAAAAATAGACCATGTGGTAGCAATAACTTAGCGCTATGACTGTAAATGTATATTTCAAAATATTTTTGTTTAATTCTAATTTATTTTTAGGCATATTTTTAAAAAAATGTTTCTTATATTCATAAGATGTCCACTTGGTGTCGCCGTCCCCTTAATTTTTTTTAAGTGTAATCAAGGTTCGTTGATTATTGGGTTAGATTTTAAACCTGTATTCGTCGCTGACAAGTATATTTCAATTTTAAGTCTAAGCTTAAATCACATGCATCTGTGACATTTTCTTCTCTTGTTCTCATGTTTTACCTTGTTTTTATTTAAACTATGTATGTTTTTTATTTAAATTTTATACTGCACTCTATACTACGTCACACCTGGTAAACTGAAAGTTATAAAAACGATAATAATAGTAATTATATGATGTTAAAGTGGTAGTAAAACATAGTGATTTGAACAGTCAGACATTTATTCTTTCTTATAAAAGTCACGCTGTTTGTTTTATCCTCAAAGTTAATTGCACCAGTTCCAATCAGGCTCCATCTGTTCAGATCCTCTGCCTGTTTGTTTACAGTTGAAACTGCACTTTCTGTTTGGTACTAATTAACAGCTAAAACATTTGTGGCGGTTAAACTTTCTCCTTCCACCTGCTCCACCGTCTAAACCTGGGGTCATAAACAAGCCCTTGAGATGGTTGTTAATGAGTCCTGTGAATCTAACTGTTGTGGGTGTTAGCGCCAGTTGTTTATTCTCAACTCATTGGACTCATGAAACTAGAACCCTTTGATCAATGCATTTTCTACAATATGAAGGCACCAGAGTCAGTAGATCATAGTAACATAGACAAAGACAATATTAATGTTGTTATTAATGTCAAGTCACCCTGT